TCAGCCATTGAACCTGACAGCTGCAATCAGCTGCAAACCCCAGCTGCCCCTGAAAGGAGGATGCAGACACCTGGGCCATATGGCAATGTCGCCTCTGTCAAATGTCACATCTGATGTACTCCTGAGCTAGCTGGTGGCACTGCAAAGCCCCAAAGGCAGGTTTCAAAAGAAAACTCTTTCCTTAGGAAAAAAAAAAAGTGGCAGAATCCATATCACAGAAGCCCAAGCAAAAAATAGCAACTTTGGGGGCAGTTAAGATAACCGAAAGTTTATGTAACTGTTTATGTAAAAGTGGCTGCTCAGCGGGGAGGTGGTGGAGTCACTGGAGGCTCAGAGCCTATGTACAACTGAGCACCTACTGTGTGCACGCACTGCCCCTGGCTCTTGAGGACAAGCATGAACAAAATAGACAAGCTTAGTGTCTACTCTCAGGGAGCTTAGAGGACAGAGGCAACAGAACGCGAATGACAATTTCAAAAAGGGACAAGTGCAGTTCAGAGGAAGCTCCCTGAAGAAAGTGACTGTCAGCTGGGATTTAAGGGTGGGGCAAAGTGAGCCATGCAAAGATTTAGAGGGAGAGCATCTTGGCAGAGAGAACAGCAAGGCAAAGGCCCGCTGAAGGGAATGGGTCTTGCATGGTGCAGCTGCCGGCTGGAGCTTCATGAGAGGGGAGCAAGGAGGAGGAGGAGAAGTCAGGGACGTGCGGACAGCGAGCAGAAACAGGCTTGTGCCCAGGGTGAGTGGAGGGATGCAAACACCGTGCTGAGTCTTACCGCCAAGCGGACCGGAGAGCCCAGCAAAGTCAGCACCTCAGCTCCTCCATCGACACAGGAGGAGGAGCCCCTCCTCCTCGGGCGGGATCAGCCCGGCAGCGAAGTGCTTAGCACAGACTCGCACACAGCAAGTGTTTGATAACGTGGGCTCCCTGACAGGCCTCCTCCCCCGTTCCTCCTGCCGGCAAGCCAGCCCCTCGCAGGAGCTGAGCAGCTGCTCCACGCAGAAATATTGCAAAACTCACCCCGGCTTTTCCAAAATATTTTCTCGCAGAAAACCCACAAGCAGCTAAGAGGCCGGATTCCGGGGACTGTGTCATCCTCCGGTCGGTCTGACTGGCTGCTTCTCTGGGCCTTGAGCTCCCTGAGGACTGAGACCCGCTCTGGCTGTGGCCACACCCTCAGCACCCTGCCCGGGGGCCTGGCAAGGGTAGCCCTTGGCCAGGGAGTGCGGGGAGCTCATCCTAGTGGCCCCAGGGGTGGGAGCACAGCCTGAACCCACAACCCAACTCTGCTACTTCCCAGCTGCAGGATGCTGAATAAGCTGTGGTCCCAAACTCCTGGGGCCTCCGTTTACCTGTCTGGAGAGTAGGGCTGCATTTAGGGTTAATGCATAAATGCAAAGTCCTCGGCATAGATAAGGGGAGACATAACCAGATAGAGCCGTGGGACCGACCTCTTCCCAGGGCCTGGTTCCACTACTGGGTCCAGAGTTTGGGCCAAGGTCCCCTCTGCCACCCGCTCTGCCCCACCCCACCCTGAGCTGGACGAGGCATCAGTCTGCCTCACAGAGCCTGCGGTGTCCCCAGTACAGCCCTGGCCATATGATGCAGTCTATGGCTTGGGTCTCGCTGGCCTGGAAACCTGTCTTGGACCAGGACCTGCTGTTCCTAGGACCTCGGTCCCATTTCCTAGAAGACTCAAAGCCTCTGAGTTAATGGATGTGGGGATGACTTTTGGTTGGCACAAAAGCAGCCCTCCATAGGAGAATGGATTTCTTCCTCGTTGTGTTAATATAGGTGTCTGCAGCACGCGCTGTCCCTGGGGAAATGTAGCCGTCCAGGTGACACCCAGCTGCCTGAGCACCGGGAGCTGAGCTCTTCGCCCTGCTGAGAAGCCTGGATCTAGCAAATCTTCTGTGCCAACTGACAGCTTTCACACCCCGCTCCACAGCTTTCTGGCTCCTCTGAGCCCCTGGGGTGCCAGGACCTCATGGAGTCACCGTCCCTAACCCACCTTCCAGATCCTCTGGGCAGTCCCTTGGCTCCACCTGCCCGCCGCCCCCGGCAGCCCTGGCAGCTCCGTCCCGGCAGCCGCTGCCCCAATGCCCACAAGCCCTCAGACTCAGCAGGGACAAAGTGTCACCACATCCCTTGGTACATTTTTCCATCTGGCAGGGACACTATGCCCTTGACTGCTCCAGCAAAAAAGTCCTGTGCAGATCCTGGGTTCTTCCCCACCCCCTCCTCCACCCCGCTGATCCCTCGCTGCATGCAGAGTTCACGTGCCTGCACCCCAGCAGCCCTCCACAGTGACCCCAAAGAGCTGCTGTCACCACTGCAGGGTAGCACAGGTGCCTGCGCAGTGGTCCCAGTGTCGGGCCTCTCTTCCGTCCTGGTGTCCCTTCCCCTGATGACCCTGCGGGTGCATCTGCACACCCTGCCCCCACCCCATAGAGCCTCGCCTTGGGGGGGGACTCTGCCTTCAGGCCAGCCTGCACCGACAGTCCAACAGTGACACGAGCAGAGCCCCTACCCCCCTCCACTTCTCTCTCTGGCTCTGTCGCTATGATCAGGCCATTGTCAGGTGCGCCAGGGATGAAATAGTGACAACCGCAAAACTGCGGGGCTTACCCCAGGGGCCAGGCTGGCCACTGGCCCTGAGTCTCTGCCCCCATACTAGAGGTATGGACAGGATGAGGGTGGGGAGAAGGACAGAAAGATGGATGGATGGATGGATGGATGGATGGACAGACAGGCAGGCAGGCAGACATGATGGATGGAAAGAGTAGAGATGGATGAGAGAGGGAGCGGGAGAGACAGGGACAGAATGAGCTCAGGCACGTCTCCTCCCAGCCTACCACACCCTGGGCCCATCATGGCGCTCTTCCTCACCCCTTGCTCGCTCCAGTTCATTCCCACCTCAGGAAGGCTCATGTGCACACAGATAACTGGGTAACAGGGCGACAGCTCTCTTCGGCTCCCCACCCCTGCCCCAGGGTTCTCTGCCCACTCTACAGGGAGCCTGGGAGGCTCAGGCCCACCCGGGGGAGCTGATGACGCTGTTTTTGTTTTGTTTTTTGAGACAGGGTCTCACTACATAGTCCAGACTGGTCTCAAATTTAAGGCAATCACCCTGCCTCAGCCTCCTGAGTGCTGGGATTAGAAATGTGCTCCACCATGCCCGGCCTGTTGCTGATGCTCTGGAGCCTGCTCTCCGGCCTTGAGCTTTCCCAGGCCCTCTGCGGTGGCTCCGCCCCTACGCCATCCCTGGGGTCTCCTTGCCCAGCCATCTGTAGCCCGTGGCCCCTGGCTCCTCCTCCAGGAAGCCCACACCCCAGCACAGACACCATAGTGGGGGCCCAGCACCCACCTCAGGGCTTCTTCTGGTCCCCAAGCAGTGGCTGGCACTTTGGCCACCTTCCAGGGGCCTCTGCCTCCACGGCAGCCCTCTGCCCTCGCAATGCAACTCAGCTCTGCCCTCTGCTCTTCCCAGCCCCGCACTCCTGCCCAGCAGCAAAGTAATTTCTCACTTTGTCACAGGACGTGGAATGTGGAGTCAGCAGCCCCCTAAGTTTCAACGTCTGCTGTGTTTGGAAACCGGGCAGGGAGGAAAAGTGGCCCAGGGAAGGAGAGGAGGGGTCAGCCGCTAAGCTCGGGGCCACGGGCTCCTCATCCTGCAGAGAAACTGCAAGACACATGCCCCGGGGTGTTCCCCAGAGATGTGCAGTGCGGTTCTTCAGGCATCCCCCTGGCCTGCATCCCACGCCTACGTGGAGGGAGGTGGGGAAGCCCCTCAGGTGCAGAGACCCAGAGAGAGATGGAAGTCATGGGCCTCCTAAAAGATCTGAGAGATGTGGTGGGGACACTGGTTGGCTAGGATGTGCGACCCTGAGCAAGTCCCTCCCCCTCTCTTCTACCGTGGAAGCAATCCTGCCTACAGGGGCTGTCTTGGTTACTTTTCTTTTATTGCTGACAGAAAACACCGGAAGTCCAAAATTAAGGAAGGAAAGGTGTTTTTAGCTCACAATTTGTGAAAGTTTCAGCCCGCAATGAGCTGGCTCCAAGGCAGGGTGGCAGGGCACAGGGCAACAGTTCGAGGCGGCGGAAGAAGCAAAAGCAACAAGAGCAGAAGGGGTGGGGGGAGCAAGGCTCTTTCCCTCCCTTATATCGTAAGCAGGTTGCCTGCCCCAGGCTGGGTGCAGCACTTACCCAACCTCCACACCCTCCTCTTGCACAGACTCAGGATGTTTACAAAGGGAGGGCCTCGCCCCCTGCTGAGTTGTTTAGTTAAACTTCTAAACATCTCAAGTTGACGTAATGTATCAACCATTACAGGGCCTGAGGTCTGCAGGAAGGCGGGGTGAGGCCTGGTGGGACGGATGCCTGTGGCGGGCGTTCAGCAGGTGCCACTGGGATGTGAGCATTTTCAGTGTCTTCTCACACTGGTTCCGCTTTTATTTTTTGTACCAGAAATCGAACACAAGACCTTGTGCTTGCCAGGCAGGGGCTTGTGCTGCTGAGCTATATCCCCGGCCCTTTTTTGAGCCACTTTCTTTCACTCTTTTGGCTTTCTGGCCCCCGCATGGATGTCCTGGGTTCTTCCTTCCGCTGTTCCCCACGGTTAGGAGATGAAGTCAGTGTTTTCTAAGGGCCAAGAGTGTCACTGGCTCAAACAAATCCTGTCCACCGTCACCCAACGGCCTGTGTTGATTCTACTCAGGACTGATCGCCCTCAGGCCGATGGTTTAGCTGGGCCTGGACTAGGGCTGAGGTCTCGTCTCCCTCCTCCTTTCTCAGCATCCCAGTCTCCCTGCGAGGACTGGCTGCAGCTGCTGGGGGCAGAAGACTCACTACACAGAGACCCCAGCCTCAAGTTCCCCGCATGAGGACTGGGTCTGCAAGAGGAGGCAGGGAGCAGGGGGAGGCTGGCCTGCCCCATCCAGGGTCCTTGTCTGCCAACAGAGGACAGTTCACAGCAGCAAGAGTCTATAGAGGAGGCACTTACGGGTGGGGTATCTCTCGTGGCGGCAGTCCAAGCGGAAGTCCTCCTCCTCACTCCCGTCTCCCTTCTCAATCCTGGAAAGAGAACAAGACCAAAATTTTTCTAAACAGAACCCCGACTGTAGGAGAAATAACATCAAGATCAACAGTGGGATCATATCAAATTAGGAAACTGCTGCACAGCAAAGGAAACAACCTACAGAAGTGGGGGAAATTACCAGCTACTCCTTGGACAGAGGACTAGTATCTAGAATATATAAAAAACTAAAAAAAGAGATTCCCCCAAATAACAGACCCAATAAAAAAAAGGGCCAGTGAAATGGATAGACATGTCTTAGAGGAAGTACAAATGACCAGTAAACACATGAGAAAATGTCCAACATCTTGACCTAAAATCTAAAGCAACACTGATATTCCATCTTACTCCAGAAAGAATACTGGCCATCATCAAGGAATAAAATAATAACAAATGCTGGCAAGGTCATGGGGGAAAAAAAACCCTCTACATTATAGGTAGGAGTATAAACTAAGACAGCCACTATGGAAATCAATATAGCGATTCCTCAAAACTAACCTTAGAAATTCTATCTGACCCAGCTATTCCCCTTCTAGGTATCTTTGTGAAAGAGTTAACGACTTCTAATACATGATTATAGCAGCAAATTCATAATAACTGAACCTTAGAAGCAGTCTATATGAGCACCAACAGAGGAACGGATAAAGAAAATGTATTTACACACAGTGGAGTACTACTCTGCCATAAAAAAGGAAAAACCTGCATCATTTTGTAGGAAGATAGATGCACCTGGAGACCATAATGTTAGGTGAAATAAATCAGACACACAAGTTTATATGAGAAACCCCCAAGTATAAAAAAATGAAAGAGAAAAATAAAAGATAGATAGTAGGAAACAAGGAGATAGCTCTTTTGCAAATGGGAAGAGAACCAAGAGATAGAGGGAGAGAGAGGAAAGGAAGAGGAATGGAAAATAAAAAGAATTAAGATGTGTTATGTACACGGACCAACACAATGGGTGTAACCATTATGTACTGCAAATATGTACTAAGAGAACCCCCAAAAGTCCATATAAGAAACAGCAGGCTGAGCTTTCTGCTGGTGGACACGGCGGAGGAAGCTTCGTCAGTCTCTTTTCCGGCTGCCGTCATGTCTAAGTCAGAGTCTCCTAAGGAACCCGAGCAGCTGCAGAAGCTCCTCATCCGAGGGCTGAGCCTTGAGGCCACCGATGAGAGCCTGAGAAGCCCCTCTGAGCAGTGGGGACACTCACGGACTGCGTGGTAATGAGAGATCCAAACACCAAGCGTTCCGGGGGCTGTGGGCTTGTCACTTACGCCGCTATGGAGGAGGTGGATGCAGCCAGGAATGCGAGGCCACACCAAGTGGATGGAAGAGTGGTGGAACAGAGCTGCCTCAAGAGAAGATTCTCAAAGACCAGGCACCCACTCAGCGGTGAAGCAGGTCTTTGTTAGTGGCATTAAAGAGGATGCTGGAGAACATCACCTACGAGACGATTTTGAACAGTGTGGAAAAACCGACGTGATTGAAATCATGACCAACCAAGGCAGATGGAAAGAAGAGGGGCTTTGCTTCTGTAACCTCTGACGACCACGATTCTGTGGATAAGACTGTCGTTCAGAAATACCACACTGTGAATAGACATGACTGTGAAGTGAGGAAAGCCCTGTGGAAGCAGGGGATGGCGAGTGCTTCATCTAGCCAAAAGGTGGAAGTGGTTGTGGAAATTTTGGTGGTGGTCGTGGTTTTGGTGGCAATGACAGTTTTGGTCACGGAGGAAGCGTCAGTGGTGGGGTGGCTTTGGTGGCAGCTCTGGTGGGGGTGGATATGGTGGCAGTGGGGACGGCTACAATGGGCTTGGTAATGATGGTGGCTATGGAGGAGGCGGCCCTGGTTACTCTGGAGGAAGCAGAGGCTGTGGAAGTGGCGGACAGGCTTATGTAAACCACGTCAGTGGCGATGGCAGGAGTGGCAGCCATGACAGCTATAACAACGGAGGAGGTGGGGGCAGCTTTGGTGGTGGTAGTGGAAACAATTATGGAGGTGGTGGAAGCTACAATGAATTTGGCAATTACAGCAATCAATCTTGCAGCTGGGAATACAGCTCAGCGGCACAAGTGCCTGCCTGGCAAGGACAAGGTCCTGAGTTCGATTCCTGGTACCCCCCCCCAAAAAAAATCAGTCTTCCAATTTTGGACCCATGAAGGGAGGAAACTTTGGAGGCAGAAGGTCTGGGCCCTGTGGTGGTGAAGGCCGATACTTTACCCAACCACGAAATCAAGGTGGCTATGGTGGTTCCAGCAGCAGCAGTAGCTAGCATAGTGGCAGAAGGTATTACACACTTCCAGGTAAGCAAGCACCTTTTTTGCGCCGGCTTAAATTTTCATGACTGCTGATAAACCCCGTAACCCTAATGTAGCTGAGCAGGGCAATATAGTTTACATTATAATTGCAGTAAAATTGTGGATATTAATGTTCAGATCAGCAATATTTGTGGGAAGCAACATGCTGTTGGGTTATAGCCTTGAGTCTTAATATGTTTAGATTAACAACTTTATTCCATATTGTTCAACAGGAAACAAAGCTTCGCAGGAGAGGAGAGCAGCGGAAGTGACAGGGAAGCTGCAGGTTGTGTCAGATTTATGAACTCAGCCAAGCACAATGGTGGCAGGGCCTCGCTGCTACAGAGAAGACGTGTTTTAGACAATACTCGTGTGTATGGGCAAAAAGCTCAAGACTGTATTTGTGGCTAATTGTATCACAGGTTATTTTAGTTTCCGTTCTGCGGGAAGTGTAAAGCGTTCCAACCAAGGGCTTTAGTGTAGACCTTTTTTTGCACCGATGCTGTTGATTGCTACATGTAATAGTCTGATCGTGATGCTGAGTAAATGCGTCTTAAAAAAAAAAGAAGGAGGAGGCTGAAAAAGCACAGCCCTTTCCTTTCGGGGAACAGCTGGCAAAGTCACCTCCCACTTTGCCCCGTGGGGAGCTATCAGGACCCTGGGAACTGGCATCACTATTTCTATTTTACTGTTGCACAAACAGAGGCATTTGAAGGTGTGCAAGGTGGGACAGGGAGGCAAAATGATTGTTCTCACAAAAAGGTGAGCCTTGGTTGTGCACCGATACTTGGGTGTATAAAAATAAGTGCAAATTGCAAAAGATGTGTACAACTTGATTTGTTTTCTGAATTACACACATGTGCACACACACACACACAAATCTGACAGGGTAGGTACCAAAGAGAGAAGGGCGTCTGCCCCTGTGAGAGGTTAGGGGTGGAGTCCGGAGCCTGCACTTTGCCTAAGCCTACTCTCTGAGCTAGAGGCTTCCTTTAGCTGGGTGTCACTTCTTAACCAAACTAAAACCCTTCTCAGAGCCAACTCTGCGTAGAAACAAGGACCCAGTTGTGTTCCACTTTCTGGAGCAACACTTTTTCCCACCAACGAATGCAAGAGTTTAATTTTTTTTACTTTCTTTTTTGTGGTACTGGGTTGGAACCCAAGGCCTTTCCACTGAGCTGCACCCCCTCCCCTTTAAATTTTGAGGCAGGGTTTTGCTAAGTTTCCTAGTTGCCCTGTCTGGGCTCAAGTTTGTGATCCTCCTGCCTCAGCCTCCAAGGGTGCTGGGATTACAGGCATAGGCTATTTTTCATTTTTATTTCCATCCTTAAATGGAAATATCTTTCTTATTTTCCTGACAAACAAATGGAAATTCCGACACCATAGAAACAGCGAAAGTCCCCCTATAAAACACCTTTGTGTAGAAGTTTGGTGCTTATCTTTCTAGAGCTAATACATTTTTTTAAAGATATAAACAGGTGTGAATGAAACATGTTGTTTTGTAACCTGAGTTTTCATTAACCCAGAAATTCTCAACATTTTTCCAAGTTGGCACACATCCCTCGCATTCATCTTTTGTTCCTCACCGCTACACATGGAAGAATAGTTCACGTCCAGTCTGTTAGGAGTCAGAGTTGTGCAAAGTGTCCACTCTCCCAAACAACGCTGCCTGTGCGTCTGGCCAGGTAGTGAGCGCCCCATCAGCAGAGGAGCTCAAGACTGGAGGATCCCAGCCACAACACTGGGCCCGGCTTCCGACACTGGGAGGGAGGCTGGGTGCAGCCCTGGCCTCATCCTAAACACCACCTGCCTGGCCGAAACCAGTGCGTCTGGGTCGGTGGACGCCACAGCCGCAGGCACACGCCTCCCACATCATCCTGGGTTTTAATCTTGACCTTGAGCCAATTCCTAGATCAGCCAGTGGCTCCTGATCCTCCTGCTTTTTTATCTACAGATTCCCTTGCTCCAGACCTTGGGCCGGGCACCTCCCCGGGCTCAGCTGAGCGCCTCCAGCCTGAAAAGAGTGGCTCAGTGAGCAAAGGGGGACATCTGAGGAGACAGCCAGCCCACCCCAGCTGGCCCTCCCTGGCCTCCTTGACCACCCTGCTGCGTCACGCAAAAGCCCTAAACTGAAGCTGGGTATGCTCACACAGCCAGTCATCCCAGCACCCCAGGAGGCTGACGGGAGTAATGGAAGTTCAAGCACAGCCTGGACAACTTAGTGACTTAGCGAGACCTTGTCTCCAAAAAAAGAAAGAGCTGGGGATGTAGCTCAGTGCAAAGGCCTTAATCCCCAGTAACACACACGCCCGCACACACACACACACACACACACACACACACACATACACACGCATACATGCACACACACACACATGCATGCACACATGCGCACACACTCACACACATGCACATTCAAGCTCAACAGCTAACAGATCAAATGACACCTGACAGTTAGAAGCATCGAGGTGGTACAGTCTGGTTCTGGGCTGGGGGCCGTGGGAGCCCCAGAGAAGCCCCGCCCCAGAGAAATGCACGCTTGTTTATAGGCATAGACTCACGGCTTTGAGGGCCATGCTAAGAGCCGGGAGGCTGCTAAGGAAGCTGGCAGGTCAGGCAGCCTCACAGGCCAGGGCTTGGTAGACTTTGACTGCACAGCTCCAGATAGTAAATATTCGCGGCTTTGGGAGCCTTATTGT